TACACAGGTGTGGAAACTTTAACCATCAGGATTTCACTGTGTCTAAGATTTGGGAGTGTTGACTGGAAGAGGGGACAAAAGGGGGGAAGAGAAGGAATTTAGAACATGTTGCCCTTTGGAGGAAGAAGGGACACCCTAGGAGGATGGGGTAGGAGTGGTATTGTGGAACACTGGGAACCCAGGGCTGGGGACTAGTCAATTTGGGAAGAGGGGATATGAGTCTAGAATGGAAAGGAATATTAGAAAGTATTGTATAGGTGTGGTGACTGTCTCAATTCATTTTATGTACTACTGTAACAGAATAACTGGGTTGGGTAACTTAGAACAAAAAAAAATCCTTGTTCTTTATTTTATTCTATTATGTATTTATTTAGATTCATATGTGCAGATATGCATGCATGATCATATATTTTGACTGTACATGTATGTTCATGTGTGTGGAAGCCAGAGGTTGACCTCAGGTATCCTTCCAAGAGGCATCCATCTTAGTTTTTGAGACCAAGTCTCTTACTGAGCCCTAGGGCTTGCTGCTTTGACTAGGGTGGCTGGCTGTGAGCCCCAGGCATCTTCCCAGCTGTGTCTCCATAGCTCTGAAATTGCAAACACACATCACCATAACCCACTGCTTTTTTTTTGAGACAGCATCTCACTGTGTGGTCAAGGCCTTTCTGGAATGTATTACATAGACCAGGCTGGCCTTGAACTCATAGAGGTTCGCCTGTCTCTGCGTCCCAGGTGCTATGATTAAAGGTGTGCACCACCATGCCCAGCCCACACCCAGTTTTTTACATTGGCCCTGGTGATCAATTCAGATCCCTACACTTGTGCAGCAAACAATTTACTGACTGAACCCCTCCCCAGGACTAGCCAAGAATTGCCTTTGGTGCTTGAATCTAGAGGCTGGGAAGTCTAAGACTGAGGTTACATACACACCATGAGCCTTCATCATTGCCTGTGACATGGGAGAAAGCATCACATTGGCAAAAGAGGAAAAGCTACTCAACTCAAGAGACTCAGGCCCTTTGTCATCGTGTTGACAGCGTAAGGGTAGGGTGCTTCCACTGGCCTTGCTTCCCAATATGGTGCTATGTGGGGAATTGAGTTTCCAGCAAATTCCTTAATACCTTAGGGGATATGTTTGAGCCACAGCATGATGCTGCCAAGCTCAGCAGAGTTCTAGAGAGTCCACTCACTGGCATTTGCCCTGGACCAGAGGACAGTTACTTCCCCATCTCTGTAGTCTGCACAAGTTGTTCATAACTAAATGTACCTGGAAGTTCTTTGAAAGGGGTTCAACATCCAGTCTCTTGGAGAGAAAGGATGTTTCTGACCTAACCATATCTCCAATAGAAGAGGAGGATCCCAGGAGAAAAGGCAAGGCTCAAAGACGCTTGTTTACTAGCAAGCAGGGCAATTGCCATGGTTAGGCACTGAGTGTCTTCCAAAGGTTTGTATGTGAAGTCTGGATCCTTGGGGGGGGTGCTATAGACCTTTAAGATGTATGGCTTGATAGGAGCTCCCGATGCCATTGTGAGTGTGCCTTATTTTATATATATGTATATGTATATATATATTTCTCTCTCTCTCCTTCCCTCCTTCCTTTCCTCCTTCCCTCCCTCCCTTCCCTTTCCCCACTCTATGATATGCCCCCATTGCCAAACCCATAAGGCAACCTGATCTTGAACCTGAACTTGCAGAACTGTGAGCTCAAACAAATCCATCTTTATTTATTTCATAAGTCTGCCACTCTGGGTTTTTTGTTATACTGATGTGAGGCCTATAGATAGACCAAGACAGCTGTCCTTCTGTTCTTTATCCCAACAGGCTCAGGAATCAATGAGATTTCATTGCAGTCCAGATTGGCCTCTAGCCAGAACACATGGGAAAGAGAAGCAACAAGATGGAAACTCTCCTCATTCCTAACCCTCGACTGGCTTTTCTCTTCACTCAAACCTGGAAGCCTGGACAAGCCACTCCCAGAACTTTCTGATTATGATTTGCCCACTCTGTATATCATGCTTTACTAGAGCCTCTCATCTCCCATGAGTTACGTGCTAAGGAGACTCCTCTGTCTGGTCTTTCTAGAACTTGATGTGGTAGGTGAGCAAAATACTTTTTTTCTTTTTTCTTCTTTTCTTTCTTTCTTTCTTTTTTTTTTTTTTTTAGTATCTTGCCAAGCAGCCCTGGCTGGCCTAGAAATCATTGTACAGCCCAGGCTGCCCTTGAACTCACCAAGGTCCACCTACCTCTGCTTCCACAGTGCTGGATTAAAGGTATGTGCCATCATGCCTATTAAGTCTGACCATTCTTAAGACCCCTTACAAATACAGATTCAATGAAGGAGAAAAGAGCATGACCAATTCCACCTACCCTCCTCTGTGCCAGAGCTTCTAGAGGAATTCCTTGAAAGCCTGAAAACCCTTCTCATGAGCTAAATCTAAGTAATGACCACTGATTCTGACAAAACAATGAGGCAACCATGCTTTCTGAAGTCACCATCATTATACATATAGGCATACTGTCTCGTGAAACATGAAAAATTCATACAGGATAAGCACCAAGCTGGGTAAATATCCCTGGTTATGAATGACAAGATCCCACAGGAATGCCCCTTTTGTGATAAATGTGAGAGGGGCCTGCAGAAGACCGAGCCAGAACCAACCTATAATACTAATGAGCAGGAAGCTGAGGGAAGATGACTTTGCAGGGGCTAAAACTAAAGGCTTAGCCTGGTGCTTTTGTCTTCAAATTGTCCCCTCCATGTTCCCTAGATTTGCAATTTAGAGTTTCTGTTAAATTTAGGGTATGTTCCAACAATCACTCCTAATCATCCTGCCTTTCAGTGTTATTATGCTGCTATTGTTATGCAGGTCACTCATCTGCTATTTTTATGTGTTCTTTTGTGGATCCTCCAGGTATGGTTCTGTTCCCTTTAAGCTATTGGAATGACCTGCACACTGTATCTGAATTGAGAGTGCTCACTCAACCTTGGTGCTATGTGGTCTTGACTTTTGTCAACATATTCCCATAAGGACTCATTTTGTACTTACCCCATCTTCAGTACAAGGTACAATATTGAAATATTTGGGTTAGGAATGTAGCTCAGTGATAGGATGCTTATTTAGCAGACACTAGTTCCTGGGTTCAGGCCCCAGCACCACAAAAGAAAAGAAAAGATAAATATATAGATAGGCAATAGGTAGATAGACAGACAGCTAGATGGATCCTGATGGTCATGGTGGCTCATATCTGTAAATCCAGCACCCTGGAGGCACTGGGATTGTCATGAGTTCAAGGCCAGTCTCAACTACAAAGTGAGATTATTTCTCAAAAAAAGAGAGCGAAAGGAAGGAAGGAAAAGGAAAGAAAGAAAAGAAAGGCCGAGCGTTGGTGGCGCACGCCTTTAATCCCAGGACTCGGGAGGCAGAGGCAGGCGGATCTCTGTGAGTTCGAGGCCATCCTGGTCTACAAAGCGAGTTCCAGGAGAGCCTCCAAAACAATACAGAGAAACCCCTGTCTCGAGAAAAAAAAGAAAGAAAGAAAAGAAAGAAGAAACTTTTTACTTCAATAACTTGGAACAAAACAAGCTTTTTGGATTTAGATTCTGGTTGCCTCTTAGTGAAATATAAGTATAAATTTAAGAATCAGAGAATGGGTGGGTGGATGTAAATTGTGTATGTGTGTGTGTTTGCTAGAAGTAGTCCTAGGAAAGTCAGAAGCTAGAACACTACTGTGTCAGGAAACGGGAGTGGCACCCCAATCATTGCCCCAGAGCTGCTCTCAGAGGCTTTCTCTGTAGCATACAGTCTGAACGCTAAGCAAGCTCCACAGCAATGTGTGCAAACTGCCCCCAACTTCTCCATGGCTGTGGGAAAGGAAGCACCTTTAGGACTAACCTTCCTCCTGCCCTAGAAGGGAAAGCACATGGGGATTCAATATAAAGTCAGTTATAGATTGGTGTCTCGTCTTCACCACCGGCATGGGAGAGAAGTAGCAATCGAGCATTAAGACACTGTGCACTGTAAACGATCAGTTGAGACATTAAAGCTGTGGGGAAAAAAATTGTCATCCTGGAACAGAGGAAAATGTGTTCGAAAAGACCACTGGACTTGAAATGTGCACTGCTGGGATGTACTGGACCATGTCAAACATTTTCTATGATCACGATAACCAAGGAAGACTTCTTTGTCTCGACATTAACACAATCAGGGAGTCTTGTCTTCAAATGCAAATCTTCCCCTCCCACCCTCTTTTTTCCTTTTCTTTTTGGTTCTTTGGATATAATCCACGTAGTCTCTCCCGATTCCCAAAGTGCCTCCCAAACAGCGCTGGGGAAGTGCTCCGGGAAGCCCTAGCCGAGACACTTAGCAGAACTTTGTTCTACACATGGGCTACCTAGCTTTTCTCGGTGACATCACGGCCTCCCCAACTCTTCACTGGCTGTGAACCGAGTTCAGGCGCTCAGGGCGCTGGCCGTGGTCCTGACCTCAGAGCTCAGGACCCTGGTGCGGAGCACTCCCAAGGCGGAGACCTTGCCACTCCGAAGAGCCATACGAGCCCCTTCCCCCTCGACCCCAGGAAAGTCGTCCGGCCTTCACTGCAGCCCTCCACTGCGCTCTTTGAGCTGCATCAAAAAAGGGTGGGGCACTGAGCCACAGCTGCAATCCGTTGCCACCCGGGAGGATTTAAGAACAGCACAGTGGTCCACCCCAGTCGCCACTCGTCGCCTCTAGTCCAGGGATCAGCTGGTCCCTGACGCGGGTTCCCCACCTCCCAGGCACAGAGAGGCGAGGGCAGCCTTTGTGGGCGACGAGACGCCCACTGGCGAACCCTTGCCTCACCGCACCCTGCGCGGTGAAGGGGCGGGCAGGGCGCGGTGCGCGTGCAGATGCGAGAGGCAGAGCTCCAAGCACCGCGTGCCCGCCGCCACGCGGGGATGCTCGGTCCTCCGCGAGATGCCAGGGTTCAGCCCTGCTCTCCGCTCCACCCCCCATACCAACCTGATCGTAGATGTTCTGCAGGGCTTCCTTGCCCGAGGCTCGCCGGATCTCCACCTTCCGGCCCGATTCAACAGATGGCTCCCCGCTGCCACGCCGGCTCTGCCGGTGCGGGTCAGGGCCCAAGTGGGCGACATCCCGCTGCTGAGCCACCACCTGCCCCGAGCCCCGGCCCACCGAAAGCGAATCGAAATCAATGGTCTTGTTCTCCGAGGACCCTTCCACCGGGCAGAACATGCCGCAGAATTTCTGCCGCGGCTTGGGACTGCCCGAGCCCAGGTTTTTGAAAAAGGCAGGGACCTCTTCGTCCTCTGCCGCCTTCCCAGATTGCTTTCTCTCGGCCATGGCTCGGGGGGCGCTGGGGAGGGTCCTCTCCGTCCGTCGGTCCGTCCGTCCGTGGTTCCCTAAGTCTCCCTGGCTGGGTGTGCACTAGCCCCTCGCTGCCGCCGCGGCTGCTGCTCCCTGCCTACCGCAAGGTGCACAGAAAGGATGGAGGGCTGGCGAGCCGGCGACCCACCCCTCGCGGTCCCTCCTCCTGACCCTGCTTTCTCCCTCCCTGCCCACGCCCCCCGGCGGCGCCGCGCCACCTCCGAGCGAGCGGCAAAGTTAGATCTGGGCGGGCGGTCTCTGCGGCAGAGAGTGCCAGTTCCCGGCAGCACGGGGCGGGGCGGGGCAGGCTGAACGCACGATCAGAAGGGAGGGGAGATGGAGGGAGGGGACGGAGAAGGGAGGGTACTAGAGGGTGGGGGGCACCCGGAGCCCGCGCTCCGGAAGTGAAGCGGCCACTCCACCCGCTAATGGATGCGCGGCGGCCGACTGGCAGACCGCTCTCCGCGCCAGGGTGAGTGTCAGACAGCTACAGCTGGGCGAGGGCCGGGGGGGTGCGCAGACCCTGGCCAGGAGTCCCTCTCCTCCACCTGCCTTGCTTCTTTGCTAAGGTAGCTCTGGAGCTCCCCTGTCCCTGGGTGAGGGCTGAGGGTTGGGGGAGCCAAGGGTCAAGCCTGCAGGACCTGGGATGTTATGGCGCTGGGGAGGAGTGATCCTGGAAACAGCAAGGGCTGGTCTCAGACACCCAAGTACCCGACACCAAAGCTTCTGTTTACCCACGACCTGGGGGGGCGGGGGGCGGAGGAGGAGGATTTCAAGGAGCAGAGAAAAGGGAGAACATTCTCGTTGGCTGCACCTGCTGTGGTTGGGAGGTGGGGCTCACAATATGGCGGGGACGAAAAACAGCAGAGGGGCGTAGCGAAAGGGAGGAATGACCCGGAGAAACATGCAGGCCTCTTGTGATGGGGGGGGCATAGAGAAGAATGAAGGCTGCGAATCGTATCACTGCGCCTTAACATAGAGACTGAGGACCCCCAACATTATCTGAAAGTCCCATGCCCTGCATGTAGGCCACTGACCCAGGAAAGATACAGGCGGATTTATTTGGTATCACACACACACACACACACACACACACACACACACACACACACTCACACACACACGGTTACCACCACCCCCACCCAAAATTGTTGGGGCCTAAGCACACTGAAGTCCACTAAGCCCACTCCAGACACATCTTGTTTTCAAGGCGCCCCGCCTAGCTGCCCCGCCCCTGTTGGCCACTGCACCAGTGCCTCGCCATTGCCAGATGCGGTTTCTCTCTTTGCGTTAAAGGTAGAGGTAGATCGTGTTTTAGGGGAGGATTACATGCTGTGAATTATGAGCAGCCAAAGTGTGTGGTGGATTTGAGGGTGTGTGTTTGTTCGTGAGCGGGCAGTCCAGTCAAGGCTGCTAGGTTCGAGGCTTTTCCAGCCCGCACTCTAATCTTGGGCGGTTCCTTGCTTATTCCCACCCCCTTGGTCCTGCTTCTGGTGGATTTAAGCCCCTCCTGTTTTCCAGAGTGGCAGGAACATGCAGAAGTGCTGCCCATCCTTCAGGGGCCCTGGAGGGCGATCTGAGCATGCTCACTGTGGAGAATGGGTTTGGTCTGTGAGAGACAGTTTACTGCAGCATGTTCTCACTGGGCGGTGTGACCAAGAAATCAGTCCCATTGTCAGCCTTTGCTTAGGGAAGGATTGTATGCCGATACCAACGCCCTCACTTGCTGGAGATAGCTTGATGGATGGAGTCACAGTTTACACACACACACACACACAGGCACACACACACACACACACACATGCACACACTCCACCCAGAATTTAATGTAGAAGCTGAGAGGACCTTATGTGAGTAGGGCTTTTGGATATTAGCACCAGATGTGCTTGGCATTTTAACAAAACCTCCGACTGTAATTACCAATGCTTTACTAAAGCCCTGTGAGATGAGGGTTTTCATCCCTCTGGCCTCCCAAGTTAGGACACCCGGTTTAGGCTGGTTCTTTTAACAGGTTATCCTGTGGGCCCCCTTTATGTGAGAAAAATAGAAAACCCCTGTGTTCTCCCACACCCAAACATTTCCTTTGTGGTCCTGTTGTATATCAAGGTGTTTCACTTGGGATCTTAAAATTTGGGGGAGGGATTAATTTTCATTATGTGTTTGTGTGTGTGTGTGTGTGTGTGTGTGTGTGTGTTTTGCCTGAATGTATGTACATATATTAGTGCATGCCTGGGTGTGTGGGGGGGGCTTGTAGGCCAGAAGAAAGTGTCAGATTCCCTGGAACTGAAGTTACAGATGGTTGTGAGCCACAACGTGGGTGCTAGGAACCAAACCTGTGCTTTTAACCACTGAGCAATCTCTCCAGACACTTGTGAGGTTTTTTGTTGGTTTGTTTGCTTTATTTTGTTTTGTTTTAAGGCCATCCCTTGTAGGTAGGATTACCTTCAGGTGAAAAGCCTCAAAAGCTAGCCAATTCTAGAGTGATATTTTTTCTGTGGACCTGGGCATTCAGTGCCTTTTGTTTGGTTGGTTTTGATGTTTTTGAGACAAGGTCCTGTATATAACCCCAGGCTGACCTTAACTCCCTATGCAGCCAATGCTCTTGAGCTTCTGATCCCGATACCTTCATCTCTTAAGTGTTGTGCTAATGGGCATGTGCTGCACTGCCTGGCTCATCTAACTCAAGGCTGCATGCATGGCAGCAAGCACTCTACCATCGTGAGCGACATTCTGAGCCCCTCCAGTGCCCTTTGCATTCCTGACTCCTCTAAACATCCAAGAGGACAAAGTTCACTCCCATATTTTACAAGGAAATCTCAGGCCTGGCTTGGTCTAAAGTTCCAGGTCCTCATGCTCCCAGGCACAATGTGGGGCAGCACTTGCCTTCCTGGTTCTAGCACACTGGAACAGCTTTTAGCGCCTCCCAGGAAGGCCGAAGCTGCTCCTGAGGCAGCTGCTGCCATAGTTATGGCCAGCATCTGTGACATATGACCTCCCTCAGACTGATGGGAAATGTTCAGGCTAAGAGGAAAAGATGTAGCATCCCAATGTACACTCTGCAAAGGTCTCTGAGAGGCACAGTCAAGTACCAAATCTAACATTTCAGTTGGCATTCCAAAGTGACTCCATAAGAATGCATGGTCTAAGCTGGGCGTTGGTAGCACATATCTTTAATTCCAGCACTCGGGAGGCAGAGGCAGGCGGATCTCTACGAGTCCAAGGTTAGCGTGGTCTACAGAGTGAGTTCCAGGTCAGGCTTCAGAGCTACACAGAGAAACCCTGTCTCAAAGATGCATGGTCTAGTGATGTTGCAGGTGTCTTAGTTTACATAAATGCACTCTGTGATGTTCAGGCAATTGCGAAGCTGCCTAAGGTGCTTCTCTGAAGGCTTCCCCATGGCTAAGCGACCGGCTGTCATAGGGACCATTCTCTTTCCCTGCAGGGCAAGTCACTTCATAGACACTTCACTCTACAGTGACTATGCTTTCTGCTTTTTGTGTTTTTTTCTCAATGGCCCAGTCAAATTTAAATGACAGGAAGTGTCATAGTTACTTTTCTACCTCTGTGACAAAGTATTGTGACCAAGGTAACTTACAGAAGAAAGCATTTAATGGGAGCTTACAGCTTCAGAGGGTTACTTCACTGCCATTGTGACCCGGAGCACGACAGCAGGTAGCAGGCATGGTGCTGGAGTGGTAGCTGAGAGCTCACATCTGATCTATAAGCACATGGCACAGAGATTGACAGTGGGAATGGCGTGGGCTTTTGAAATGTCAAAGCCTACCCCCAGGACCTCCAGAATCCTTCCCAGATAGTTCCACCAGCTAAAGACCATGATACATGAGCTGTGGGGCCCATTCTCACTGAAAGCACCACAGGAAGCGTTGGGTTGGGTTGATAACTTAGCAGTGTAACACTCAAAAAGCCTTGCTAGACACAGCAGAGGAGGACTGATTCCTAACTCCAAAGTGTGCTTGTTTTTCTGAGATTCAATTTTTCGTCCTTACACCCATTAAAAATTATTTTTAAATGTTTGAGTGATTCTGCTTAGTGTTTTTTTTTACGTCTTTTTCTTCTTTTGAGACAAGATTTCTCTATGTAGCCCAGATTGACTTCAAACTTGCAATCCTCCTGCCTCATCTTCACAACAGCTGGGAGTGCCACCACACACAGTGCAGTTGTATTTGTTTTTAAATGTGGTTCTCATGTAGCCCAGGCTGACCTCAAAGTCCTATGTGGTCAACAATGATCTTAAATTCCTGATCCTCCTGCCTCCACCTCCCAAGTGCTGGGATTACAGGCATGTACTACCATGCCCAGTTTATATGGTGGTGGAAATTGAACTCTAGGCTTTGTGCATGTATGGTAAGCAAGCACTCTGCAGAACTGGGTGGGGTTTTTCTTCCAAGTGCAGCAACTATCCTGTTTAGGATGTTCCACTAAATTGTGCAGGACTGTCACTTTTTCCCATCCTTTACTGGACCGTTATATTTTTAATAAGCGCATTAATCTTTGTTACTGTATTTTAGGCCTAAAAACACATGGTTCATGTTTGTGTGTAACAGGACAGCTTGATTTGGATGAAGTTAAGACACATCCATACTATTATATAGAGGTGGGAGACATCTTCCAGAGCTGGAAGCTGAATATATGCGCCTTGATTCTTGAGGAACATTCTGGAACACATAAACAGGTATTTAATTATGTCTCCTAATTTCATCTTTCAGATGGTGAAGGTCTTGGATCCCGCCTACTGATGGGGACTTTGGGGTGGAGAGAAGGGGTTTAAGTTGGTCCCCTAACCCTGAGTACAGTAAGCAAAGAAAGGGGTCCAACAGAGTGGGGTAGACAAAGGTGCGGTGGGAGCCATAGCCCTTGGTCCACCCCTAGCTCCATTCCAAACCACAGCGTGGGTGTGTCCTGGGAAGTAGAGGTCTGCGTAGTAAAAATGAACCTCTCTTTCCCTAGGAGTCCTCACTATCTTGCTGTATGACTCCCCAGAGTTTTGGGTGCTAGAGTGAAAGCCACCTCCCCACTGACTAGAGAGAGGAGAAGTGACAGAAACCGGGAGATTCTGGGGCGAGCAGTTGTTCCAGGTGCCTCATAGTGACAAGAGCCAGCACCACCCAGCTGCCTACGGCTCCCAGAAACAGCAGCAAGCCCACTGCAGAGCCACAGGGCTGGTAACTGCAGCCCACCCCATCCACTCATTAACCCTGCTGTGGGTCTGAAGACACAAAGGAAGTGCCTGGTTCTTGACACTGAGCCAAAGGACAAAGCATTGATCCATAAGGCTCTGATTGGGGAGTGAGCCAGGCAGGGACTACGTGCAGAGGCACATCCTGGTGCAGAGGCACATCCTGGTGCAGAGGCACATCCTGGTGCAGAGGCACATCCTGGTGCAGAGGCACATCCTGGTGCAGAGGCACATCCTGGTGCAGAGGCACATCCTGGGACCATGGCAGTGGCACTGTTGGAGGAGTGGTGCAAGATAATGAGCGTGAGTGACCGGAAGTCATTGCTGGTGACTGGCATACCAGCCGACTGTGGGGAGCCCGAGATCCAGGCAGTCCTTCAGGAGGCGCTCAAGTGTGTGGGCAACTACCACCTGCTAGGCAAGATATTCCAGAAGCAAGACAACACGAATGCTGTCTTACTAGAACTCATGGAGGACACGGATATGTCTGTGGTCCCCAGTGAGGTGCAGGGGAAAGGAGGTGTCTGGAAAGTGATCTTTAAGACCCCTAACCAGAACAGCGAGTTTCTCCAGAGACTGAACCTCTTTCTAGAAAAAGAAGGCCAGACGGTTGCAGGGATGTTCCGAGCCCTGAAGCAGGAGGGAGTGTCCCCAGCAACCACAACCTGCGCATCCCCTGAGTTACTGGCCCACTTGGTGGGGCAGGCAATGGCTCACGCTCCAAGGCCTCTGCAGCAGCCTGTGAGGTACTGTAAGTTGCGAGTGTTCTCTGGGAGCACAGTGCCTGGCCCAGAGGAAGAGTCCTTTGAGATCTGGCTGGAACAGGCCACTGAGATAGCCAAAGAGTGGCCCATCCCGGAGGCAGAAAAGAAAAAGTGGATGATGGAGAGCCTCCGCGGCCCCGCCCTGGACCTCATGCACATCGTACAGGCAGACAACCCATCCATCGGTGTGGACGAGTGTCTGGAAGCCTTTAAGCAGGTGTTTGGGAGCCTGGAGAGCCGTAGGAGCTCGCAGGTAAGATACCTAAAGACCTATCAGCAAGAAGGGGAGAAAATCTCAGCCTACGTGCTCCGGCTGGAAACTCTGCTCCGAAGAGCTGTGGAAAAACGGGCTATTCCCCGGAACATTGCTGACCAGGTACGCCTGGAGCAGGTCATGGCTGGGGCCAACCTTAGCAATGTTCTATGGTGCCGTTTACGGGAGCTGAAGGATCAGGGCCCGCTACCCACCTTTTTGGAGCTGATAAAGGTGATACGAGAGGAAGAAGAAGAAGAGGCCTACTTTGAACATGAGAGTAGGGAGGAGCCAGGGGAACGAGAGGGCTATGGCCGCTGGGACAATTCAAGGAACAACTGAGAGACACCCCTACTCCTGTCACCCCCTGGTGAGCATAGGGATAGTGCTTGGCGAGGCTAATCCAATTACAGTGGATTTTTCTCTAGTTGAAGTCAAGCATTAGAACCAAATATTTTCTTTTATTTTGACAGGGTCTCTACTTAATAGACCAGGCTGGCCTTGATCTTGCACTTTTCCTGTCTCAGGCCTCCCAAGTTGAGTTCTGGGATTAGAGGAGGGTACCACCACTAGTGCCCCATCTCAACTTTTCTTTCGGAGAAAAAATGCCTGGGCTCTGAGTAGCCTGGTTTGGTGGACTCTTAAGCAGAGTGTCAGTAAATACAAGACTGGGTTCCTAAAACACCTAACGCTCCTGTACTTTAGTTTCCGTGAAGCACACCAGGGTCAGCCAGACGGCTCCATTGGTAAGTCTGCTTGCCAACCTCTTCAGAGCGGGTAATGATGTGAATAGGGAATAGAAATTGTTCAGGCAGGAGCTGGAAGGATGGCTCCGTGGTTAAGTGCTATTCTTCCAGAGGAGTTCAGAACCCCGCACCCGCATGGTGGTTCACAGTCACTCATAACTCCAGTTCCAGGGGACCCGACACCTTCTTCTGTTCTCTTCGGGCACTGCACACATGTGGTACACACATATATATGTGCAGAGGACACACATAAAATAAATCTTTAGAAAGAAAGAAAAGAAACAGGCGAGGCAGTTTTGGGGCATTCCAAGAGTATCCCTGGTTCTCTGACCCATGGATGTCACAAAGGAACTCTCGTTTCTCATTGAAACCTTCATGGAGGTTACACCTGAAGGTGGGACTGGGACCTCAGCCGGATACTAATCCCTTTGTAAATAACTTTAGAAATAGATCTCTAGATTTTCATGATAAAAAATTGCTTATATCTGTTCCCCAGTTTTAGCCCATCTCCTAAACGATTTTAGTACCTCTTCAGAGGAGGGAATTTCACAGTGGCCTTGATTGGGGCTTTTCTGAGTCTCTTAAGAGAAAAACATTTCCTTCTGGTCAGAAGAGTGGAATCTACCTCTTGCTTAGGTGGAACCCTAACATTCCAAACTAACCAAAACATAAGAGTTAATCCAATTGGGCAGGTCCGTTACCTGGCTAACGGACTGCACATCAGGAAGGCAGATTCATCTAACTCCATGCTAAAGAGATGGGAGGAATAATTATCCCCCTAATGAGAACATGTACTTTTGCTTCCCAGAATCTCTGTTATCTGTATAGTCACAACAGAGCCACCACAAAAATGAAACTTGCTCTTTTTCTTTTCTTTTGCCTGGGGCCCAAACCTAAGTAAGCTTTTTCTAGTACTTCAGGCTTTTTCTTCTCTTTCCATATGACTGCTTGCTAAACCTCTACCTAACTCAAAAAAGAAAAGAAAAAGAAAGAGAGAGAGAGAGAGAGAGAGAGTCATGGCTTTCTCTCTTCTCCATGTCCTTCTTCAGGAAGGTTTGATCCCCAGAGAACCAACTCCTACAAGCTGTCACCTCTCTCTCTCTCTCTCTGTCTCTCTGTCTCTCTGTCTCTCTGTCTCTCTCTCTCTCTCTCTCTCACACACACACACACAATGTTCTAAACCACACCAAATAGACCAATGTTGACTCATACCATAAAAGAAAGAATTGACCTTATTTTTAAAATCAAAACAAAACCCAAAAACAGCTTTTGCAATAAGCTTGAAAGATGAGGTGGAATGGCTTGTCAGGTCATTTCCTGTCTCAAATCAGCAAATTCTGTCAGACTCTGGAAGCTTCCTCCAGCTGTCATCTATAGCTAAGCAGTCACGGGCCTTGCAGTAGGATCTGGGGTGATGGGAGGCAGGTCTTCCTCCACCACATGAATGAGACCATCATGGCTTTCGGTTTCTAACGTCACCTGCAGAGTGTCCCCCTCCACACATGCCTTTCTTCTACTTCATGTAGATGGTTCCAGACCCAGCTGCAGTGTCAGTCTCAACCCATGGATGATTCGTGAAGTCTGTTACCAAGAGGTACACAGCTATAGAGAGATGTCTTTGAGAAAAAGATGGATGTTCAAAGACACACACAGAATTGGACACACACATAGTGTGTGTGACTACCACTCTAGTCTATTTAACCATGAAGACTTTAACTGGCAGCGGGAATGAAGCAGAGAAAAAGACCTCACAACCTACTGAGGGCTGCAACGTGCAACGTGTTTCATATAAATCCCACTTCATGTGTGTAGCAATCTACTCTTTACAGGGTGGTGTGTGTGTGTGTGTGTGTGTGTGTGTGTGTGTGTGTGTGTGTGTGTGTGTTACTCTTCATAAAGAGAAAGAAGCAAAACTCAAATGAGTTAAATGGTCTCAACCCCAAAATGTTCAGAAGTGATACCTAGATAGAAGCCCAGGACAGATTTTGGGAACCCACCCTCCATTAACTATGTGTCACTCAAATGTATCTTCTTAGTTCTATAGATTGGTTTTTGAACAGATGTATTTTAAACTCCTTAAATCTCAAACACACAGCAGGTAGTTTCAAGTGTGCTGATGACCAAGTCTCAGCATATCAGTGTTCTCCAAGTTTGCCTTTGTTTCCAGACTTACCCATTTGTGGCAAAACAAAGCTCCCTGCTGGCATTGGTGTACATATTTCAAGCTCTCTGTAATTGTGCACAGACTTGAAAGTTGTAGTGTCTTGTGTGTGTCGAGTGCACGAGGACATGGTAAACAAACACCACTTAGTTACATGCTAGGCAGAGCCCTGACACCGTTCATGTACAGCCTTGTGGTAGATCCTTGTGTGCTGTAAGCAAGTTGCTTAGTTTTCCTCAACATCCGTTTCCTTATCTAAAAATGAGCTGCCATCAGATCACGTGACACAATGCCATTTACAGTCTTCAAGTAACATTTGGAAATTAGAAACCCCTCGATAACACTGAGTACCTTGGTGTTTTCGAGACAGTTTGTTGTCACCTCAATGCATGTTCTCCTGACCTTTCTAGTTGTGTGGAAACAAGATGTAACAGACTTCCAGTCATGATGTTCCTGCCATTGGGAAGCATTTTAGTTCTTTTGCACATCTGTGATAAGTATTCCAGAAGTGGTTGGTAACTGTTAGTTGATTTGATTTTGAAATGGTAACCTGCTCTTCTGGGTTGTGGTTAGTTTAATTGAAGAATAAGAATTGTGAAAGAAGTATTTTTAAAAGTCATTATCTGTGATGATTTATCTTTCTGAAATACAGTTCTCAACACCATCCAACCACAGTGATGTGATTGTCATTGTTGACCATTATATCCTGACTCCATGTGGCTCTGTGTTCCTGGGATCAGCCTCACCATTGTCACTGACTGTGAATTTAAATGTTACCACTGTCAAGCTATGAAATAAATCTGAGAAAGTGAAATCCTGTGTTATTTTCTGCTTCCTATATGTCTGGGTGATTGTTTGAAGGAACTTCGTTACTAAAAACAAGACAAAATCAAATGAAAGGGACTGGAGAGATGACCCGATGGTTAGGAGCCCTTGCTGATCTTCCAGATAACTTGAGTTGAGCTGCCACCACCCACATCTGGTGGCTCATCGGTACCTGTAACTCCATCTCCCTCTGCCCCACCACCCACTGTCCACTTAGACCTAATCTCTGTGGGTGTTGTACAAAGCAAAAGAAAAATAGCAAAAAGGAAAGAATAATGACTATAGTCTGTGCCCAAGACAGTCGTGTGAGTCTGAGCAAGGCAGGGGGTCAGAAATTACTGCAGAAAAGAGACAGAGCCTAAAACAGAGTGAAGAAAGAGGGTCCAACAAAATATTGTCAAATGACTCCACCAGCAGAGTCTTTGGTAGTCTAAAGACCTAGAGCCAGGGCCTGGAGAGGCGGCTAAAGCCAACAAGCCTGATGACCTGAGTTCAGTCCCCAGAATGCACAGGGTGGAAGGCAAAAACCTATTCCTGCAAGCTGTCTTCTGACCTCCATATGTATGACATGGCAGGCACACACACACACACACACACACACACGAGAGAGAGAGAGAGAGAGAGAGAGAGAGAGAGAGAGAGAGAGAGAGAGAGAGAGAGAGAGAATGCAGACATCTCACTTATCAACCTAGCTCTCCCAAGGGACCAAAGCAGGAAGATGTCCTGGTCCGGATCTCCATGACACTGCTCCTGTCTGTGCCCACATGCTCCTTGACATCCCAGATGGACATCTTCATAAAAATTAACAGAACTCTAGGATCACAAACTGAAATCAATGTCCCTGTAAGGAAAAGTGTAGGGTTTCCATCTTGCTTTCAGTATAGCAGCTGGGACTGCCCATTAGTTGTCAGGACTTTTTTCAAAAGCAGCTGAGGTTCTCCCAGCCACCCTGCCTCCCCTTAAAAGGGAGTGCTTACCAAGGGGGAGGGGTGGCTGTTGCTAAGAAATGTGCAGTGGGCTGTGCTGGCAGTCACTGTGAAAGGCTTACAGAAAGGGAAGATGTCTCCCCCGCTGTGTCCTGCCCAGACCTGCCCTCCTCCACACAGTCAGCCCTGAGCAGGTCTCCCCCAGCGTCCACAGGTCTTTCCAACAAACTTAGCTACCAAAATGCAAGTTTTCTTGAACAAGCTGTTGTCACAAAAGCCAATTTCATATTGTTATTGAGCAAAAGACAATGGAAACCAGATTGATGGACCAGGGAGTCGTCTGGGTCTGTCCACAAGTCCTTTATACTTCAAAGTTATTGATGGCATGATCTAAAATGTATTGCAGGGACTGGAGACATGGCTCAGCAGTTAAGAAGACTGGCCACACTTACAGAGGAGTAAGGTTCGGTTCCCAGCACCCACGTGGTGGCTCACACCCACCTGTAACTCCAGTTCCAGGAGATCTGATGCCATCCTCCGGCCTTGGAAGTCACTGCACACACCCAGTGCACACACAAACATGCAGGCAAAGTAGCCATGTGCTTAAAATAAAACAAATAAATGTTTCAAAAGAAAATAAAATGTATCCCATTGGACACATTTTGACTCAATCTAGACATTTCTGCTCGAGGATGAAGGTTAGCACCGCTGCTTTCTCCCACCAGGATGGGGCTTGGCTGCTTTTCTGGAGAGGGCAGATTGCATGTGCCTAGGCTGGGCATCCTGAGGAGGAAAAAGTACCCAGGGCCAATCATGGGAGGTGGGAATTTCTATGCATTGGGGAGTCAGAGGAGAAGCGGGGGCCATTGAGATGTCTTAGTGGGTAAAGCGACTACCTTACAAACCTGACACTCACAATGGAAAGAGAGGACTGACTCCACAAAGTTGTCCTCTGAACCCCACACATGCCCGGTGGCATGAGTGCTCCTACACACATCATGCACACACAATAGTAGTAAATAAAAATAAAAAATGTTTAAAAGGGAGTGAGGCAGAGACCACATCTACCACCTACCCCAACACATAGCGTACCCCGGGCATTTGCTATTGACTTCAGAAACAAAAGAAGGATTTAGAAACAGATGAGAATAAATGGGGTTGATGAGATGGTTTGACAGAAGAGGGTGCTTGCCAACAAGCCAGACAACCTGAGTTCAATCCCCAGAACCCACATGGCACAGAGGATGAGCCTACTCCTCCTGCAAGCTGCCCTCCCATGTCCACATGCATGCTGTGGCACCCACCCATCCACCCTCATATACAAATAAAGAACCCTGGAAGCAGCTATTGGGAAATAGTTACATAGAGGAATGATGACAGAAATAGCTGCTGATATGACATGAGAAAATATGCAGGTAAAAGGACAGTAATGCTATTATGCACTGGATAAGGAGGACTATTATGAGTCAGGATTCAGCACAAACTGCCTTCAGTGTCCTCTGAAGCTGGGAATGATGCAGAGGTGCTTGCCAGAGGAGGAACCTGAGGACTGAGAGGAAGCCTGCCTTCAGAATGTGTTTCTTTATGGCTATTGAACCACTCATGGTTGCCAGTTTCCTCTGGGGTCAATTTTAGTCATTCAGACTTTCTGTTTCTCCATTAATACAGGTTTTCTGTCACGCCTGCTGCACGGCCTGTGTCCGAGAACGTGCGGAGGGTGTCGGGGATTGACAACACAGAGACTCACTCAACAATATAAAGAAAACTTTAAGCAGGCCCCAAAAAGGCTCAAGAAAACTTCCTAAGAAAGGCTCCCTCCAGAAAAGCTTCTGCTCTCTCCTCTCCCCTGGCTGGTTCTGCTCTGACACCAGAAACTGATCTGGGCGTGTCAGAAGAGGCGATTAGTCTTTGGACAAAGTCGAGGTCAGGGCGGTTTCCGTGGGCAGGCCTTTTCCAGGACCTTATTGCCCCTGGCATTGTATTGTTCTTAGTAAACATGTTTTTAGTAAACATTGTCTTACAGCTGCCTACTCCCAGGCCGAAGGGGAAGTGGGTCTCTGCTCAAGGTCTGGTGTTCCCACAGTTTTCAAATGAAAAGGCACAGATTTCTCAGTCTCCTTTTCTTGTTTTAAATTATTAATACTTTGTGGTTATGGCTTCTTTTCCATTCTGAATCAATCTTTCTATCTATCCTCTCTCTCTCTCCCTCTCTCTCTCTCTCTCTCTCTCTCTCTCTCTCTCTCTCTCTCTCTCTCTCTCTCTGTGTGTGTGTGTGTGTTCATAATTTCCATAAGGTTAGCTATTTTGCTGATGTTTTGTAGAGAATCAGTCTTACTGTCTTTCCTCATCTTCACTATAGTAACTTCCATCCTTAGCTTTATTCTGTATTTCATCTCATCTAAGATTGTTCCTTGTTCCTTGTCTTTTTGTTTAATGCTAGGTATAAGACCTAGAGCTTCACATCACTGAGCTATTTCCCAGCCCTGGTCTTTGTTATCTGTCTTTCACAAATGTATTTAAACATAGAAATGTATGTCCAAGTATCAGTTTTTCATAGCTCACTTTTTTTTAGCAATACTAGGGATTGAAACTAGGACAATGCACATGTTAGGCAAGCACTGTGTCAGCAAGCTGTAGCCCTAGATTCTCTATTATATGTGTGTGCAAATGTATTATGTGTAAATTATATATATGCATATGTATGTATTTTTAAATTCTTGTGTGTTTTTATTTGTATGTGTCTATGTGGACAGGCATATGCACATGAGTGCAGTGCCTGCAGAGACCAAAAGAGGGCATCAGATACCCTGGAGCTGGAGCTACAGGTGGTGTGCAAGTCATCTCTCTATCCCATTAAATATTTTATAGACATTTTATTCAAGAATTTATTCAATGGAGGGACAGAGTAGTATCAACATCTTTCCATTTTAAGCTGTTCCTAAGTAATTACAATGTAATTAGTGGATGCATTTATTTGTTTAAGATAGGATCTGGCAAGTGGAAATATTTGAACGTTTCAGTGCTTGTGTGTATAAATGCCTTATGTGTTTTGGAAGATCATCTCTGTCCTTCATGCATTTTCTTTTTATCCTGTCTCAGCCTCACAAGTTCTGGGATTACTGGCATGTGCCAACATCACTGTACTGTGGCTAAAGTTCTCTCCAGTCAGTAATCTGGAGTAGTTGAAGAGGGCACTTGACTTAATTGCCCAATCTTGTTGCCTATTATTTAATATCTCTAAACTGTTACTTAAAATACTGTTCATATACTCTCTCTGTGGTGGCCTGAAAGAAAATGGCTCCCAAAGGGACTGACAGTATTAGGAGGTGTGGCCTTGTTGGAGGAAGTGTGTCTCTGTGGGGGTGGACTTTGAGGGTTTATACATGATCAAGCCACACCCAAGGAGACAGACACTTCCTGTTGCCTTCTGATCAAGATGTAGCCAGCACCATGTCTGCCTGCATGCCACCCTGCTCCCAGTCATGATAATAATGAACTGAGCCTCTTAAACTGTAAACAAGCCACCCCAATTAAATGTTTTCCTTTATAGGCATCACTGTGGTCATGGTGTCTCTTCACAGCAAGAGAAACCCTAACTACAGACACACCCATATGTGTGTCTGTAAATCCAATCCATCATACTCCATCTTAGCTAGACATGGAAGTCTTCTGGCTTCAATCTTCTTTCTGAAAAGACTAGAAAATGAGAGCAAACACGCTTCATGTTTATTCTTACCTTTTTCTAGTTGCCTCAGCCAAGAAACTCTTTCAGTTACTTCTCACAGACTCTAAGAAGGAATTAAAACAACCTGTTCGTATGGAACATGCTTTGATTCTTCTCCCCATTGTTTAAGGATATTTTCCTTAAATGTAGAGTTCTAGGTTGGCTTTTCAAAAGTTCTGCATATGAACTGACGAGATGGCCCAGCAAGTGAGGGTGACTGACACCAAGCATGAAGACTAGAGTGTGATCCCCAGAATGCATGTGACAGGAAGTGCAGAACCGATCCCTGCAAGCTGTCTTCTGACCTCCACACGCATGCTAAGGCAAACACGTGTCCCT